GAGGATGCAAGGGGGGGAATTAAGTCACCCCCCGAAAAGACGGCCTAGCCGTTTTTTCGGGGCTCAAAAAAAAATAAGGCCCGGCCTTATTATGTGAGAAACACGGTAAAAGTAGATATCTCAATCTCCCTGACTGCTGATTCTTGCATGCACCCAATTTTCTTGACAGTGGCAATGAATTCTATCATTGCCTACTTGCAAAAAGTATTTGTTGTCTTTCCAATCTAGTCCATAAACTTGGAATTTTCTGGTCTCCCATCCCCATATCAAAAGAGCTAGATGCTTCTCAGTTCCTGAATCAACTAAAGTTGGATAAATCCTGCCACCTCATCAAAATCTGGAATAAGCAACCTCGACCGGTATGAGATCTATGCAACATGAATATTAAAAATAACATCATTTCATGTTTTTGTGCTTCCCTCAATGAAAATAGTCTTTTATGAGAACTTCCAGGATGACATCATGATGGCTCGGACATAGGAACAGCGGCTCAGCTCTGAATGTCTGATTTTTTCACGTCTGAATGCCCGACGAAGCAACGGAGGACCCTGGAGAGATCTGCGATAGAGAGGGGAAGCTTTGAGGGTAGTGGGTGGAGGCGCGACCCCCCGCTCCTGTAAGAGAAACCCCTTGAAAACGGTGTGGAAGAGACTGGCCCTGGGGACGGATCCAGAGGCATGACAGCCCAAGAAATGGTGACGGAAGCAAAGAGTGAGACAACAGAGGTAAACAGTGAGAATTGATGGAGAGAGGAACCTAATCCTCAGAGATCTGGAGAGAGTGACTGACAAGTGAGTCTCCGGTGAGGGGAATTTGGCGATCTAGTGGTGGGAGTGGAAGATTAACAATTGATCACAACGATTGTCTGTCAGCGTAGGAGAAGTGACTAGAGACTAAGTTTTGAGCCTGGAATCAGCTTAAAACTACCCAAGATAGACAATTTGATTATTTGACTGATTATTTCGAGGGGACTGGCAAGGATTGTTCAAACAGATCGGAAGGAGATTTATAAAGAAAACGGATGAGAAGTGCTGAAGGAAAGTTAAAGAACTTCAGCTGGGGGGACAGTGATTGTGCAGTGACTGTGCATATTAGAAGGAAGAGGACATTTTGTAACAAGGAGAGCTGATGGTGGAAGTATAAAGAACATTAAGTACTTTAAATTTTTCTAATGACATTTGGACTTCTCAAATAAAAAGAATAAATAGAAAAACTTTGAAAAGAAAGAATAATTGTGCAAGATCTGACTATACTTATAATTTATGATATATATTGATATATATTTTTTACTTTATCCTTTTTCTATATGAACTTATAGCCTTATATAATTGAATTAATTAGATTAATTATAACAAGATTGTGAACAAGATCATTACCGTATTTGCCGGCGTATAAGACGACTGGGCGTATAAGACGACCCCCCAACATTTCCACTCAAAATATAGAGTTTGTTATATACTCGCCGTATAAGACTACCCCCTCTTCCACACACCTTCCACTTTTGCACTTTTTTTTTTTTTTGACGCACTTTTCTGCTTTGGACAATTTTGAAATGAGCTAATCCAATTTTGAACCAAGAATATGCAAATAGCTATGGAGTTTAGAAATGAGTTTTAAAAATATTTTTCATTGCTTACCATTAAGCGTAAAATATGTTGTAAATAAAATGAGAACACAGGAAACGTTCTCTTCTCAATACAGCTGATCTCTCTCTCTCTCTCTCTCTCTCTCACACACACACACAACCAAAAACCCGGACACTGAAAAGGCTGCCAAGGAACAGTATATTCAATGCCTTCTCTTTAATCAAGAAACAAGGAATTCCTTAGAATCTTTTTTTTTCCCCAAGTGGCCCTCTTTAAAAAAAAATATGGAGGTAACACTTTCATTCAAAAAGTCTTCCAGTATCTGGAGTCGCTCAGACATATTGAAGTGAGGCAGGAGAGTAAGTGAAATTTGAAATGATCCAGCTACTGTTTTCTTCCCCTCCCGCCCGAAGGCCATTATCTCCACGTCAAAACGAACGAGGGGAGGCAAAGAAGCCAAACACGCTAAAAAGGATCTCTTTATTTTCCTACACAAGGTCACACCTACTTTTCCGCATTCAAAGGACAACCTCTCCTCACCACCACCACACACACACACACCCCAATACCCGCAAACAATGTTCTGGGCATTAATCACCATTGCTACATTAACCTGGTAAATTTATACCCTGCCTCCCCCAGTGTTGCTTTGACGGCAGGATTTCACACAGCGGGGCGCTCGCTCGCTCTCTTCTCCGCTCTCCCACCGTTCGCACATGTTGGAAGCACCGTAAAACCTGATAACCCACCCGGGGACTCCCCCATCCTTAACCTACAGCCGCGCGCGCACACACACACACACACACACCCCGCTCCCCCCCCCAGCCTCCCTCCCGGCTGCAACTCAAGCTCGAAGTGGGAGTCGGAGTCCTCCCGGCGTATAAGACGACCCCCCCACTTGGAGGCATGTTTTTCAGGGCAAAAAAGTCATCTTATACGCCGGCAAATACGGTACTTATTATTGGAAATTGTGCTGATATCAACCTATTATTATAACTCCACAAATTTTATAAAATATATATTATATTTATTTATAAACATTAATTACTAATTAACCTATACCTATTAATTAATTATACCTATTAATTACAAACTACAAATAATATCTATACATAGATTATTGACTTATTGATTTTCTGTATCAATTGTATTTTACTATATTGGCTATTGTAGATAATTAGAATATTGACTATATTATTGGGATAAAGTAGTTAGTATAAATCAATTTCTGATATATAATTACTTAGAGTTAAGTAAAATATACACTGCTCAAAAAAATAAAGGGAACACTTAAACAACACAATGTAACTCCAAGTCAATCACACTTCTGTGAAATCAAACTGTCCACCTAGGTAGCAACACTGATTGACAATCAATTTCACATGCTGTTGTGCAAATGGAATAGACAACAGGTGGAAAGCATAGGCAGTTAGCAAGACATCCCCCAATAAAGGAGTGGTTCTGCAGGTGGTGACCACAGACCACTTCTCAGTTCCTATGCTTTCTGGCTGATGGTTTGGTCACTTTTGAATGCTGGCGGTGCTTTCACTCTAGTGGTAGCATGAGACGGAGTCTACAACCCACACAACACAAGTGGCTCAGGTAGTGCAGCTCATCCAGGATGGCACATCAATGCGAGCTGTGGCAAGAAGGTTTGCTGTGTCTGTCAGCGTAGTGTCCAGAGCATGGAGGTGCTACCAGGAGACAGGCCAATACATCAGGAGACATGGAGGAGGCCGTAGGAGGGCAACAACCCAGCATTAGGATTGCTACCTCCGCCTTTGTGCAAGGAGGGACAGGAGGAGCACTGCCAGAGCCCTGCAAAATGACCTCCAGCGGGCCACAAATGTGCATGTGGCTGCTCCAACGGTCAGAAACAGACTCCATGAGGGTGGTATGAGGGCCCGATGTCCACAGGTGGGGGTTGTGCTTACAGCCCAACACTGTGCAGGACGTTTGGCATTTGCCAGAGAACACCAAGATTGGCAAATTCGCCACTGGCGCCCTGTGCTCTTCACAGATGAAAGCAGGTTCACACTGAGCAAGTGACAGACGTGACAGGGTCTGGAGATGCCGTGGAGAACATTCTGCTGCCTGCAACATCCTCCAGAATGACCGGTTTGGCAGTGGGTCAGTAATGGTGTGGGGTGGCATTTCTTTAGGGGGCCACACAGCCCTCCATGTGCTCACCAGAGGTAGCCTGACTGCCATTAGGTACCGAGATAAGATCCTCAGACCCCTTGTGAGACCATATGCTGGTGCGGTTGGCCCTGGGTTCCTCCTAATTCAAGACAATGCTAGACCTCATGTGGCTGGAGTGTGTCAGTAGTTCCTGCAAGACAAAGGCATTGATGCTATGGACTGGCCCGCCCGTTCTCCAGACCTGAATCCAATTGAGCACATCTGGGACATAATGTCTCGCTCCATCCACCAATGCCACGTTGCACCACAGACTGTCCAGGAGTTGGGGGATGCTTTAGTGCAGATGTGGGAGGAGATCCCTCAGACGACCATCCACCACCTCATCAGGAGCATGCCCAGGCGTTGTAGGGAGGTCATACAGGCACTTGGAGGCCACACACACTACTGAGCCTCATTCTGAATTGTTTTAAGGACATTACAGCAAAGTTGGATCAGCCTGTAGTGATTTTTCCACTTTAATTTTGAGTGTAACTCCAAATCCAGACCTCCATGGGTTGCTAAATTTGATTTCCATTGATAATTTTTGTGTGATTTTGTTGTCAGCACATTCAACTGTGTAATGAACAAAGTATTTAATGAGAATATTTCATTCATTCAGATCTAGGATGTCTTATTTTTGTGTCCCCTTTATTTTTTTGAGCAGTGTATATAGTTGTTAAGATTAATCAATACAATATAGAAGATATAATAATATAGATTCTGGGATTTTAAAGTAAAGGAGGCTTACAGATAGCACAGTATTTACTCTACAATAGACAACAACAAATATAAGAATAGTGCCCAGTTGGGTTGGGAATTTATGGTATTCTGGACACAGTTGTATACAATTTTGAGAATGGCAACTACCACTACTACTTCAACAACGAAGACAGGGAAAAAATGATGCCTTCTCCATCAATGATGCCTTCTCCATCAGGCCAAAGGTTGATAGAAAGCATGCTGGGAAGCGAAAAGTCAGGTTCAACATTAAGCCTACAGAATCTACAAGCAACTCTAAACATGATGCAGGAGATGATGATGAAAACTCTGGAATCCATAACAAGTAACATGAAGAAATGAAAGGTGGCATGGAAGAAATGAGGGGAGATATCTGCAAACTAGACAACAGGATGGGATCAATACAAGAAGCAATAATGAAGAATGAACAAAAAAATTAAAAGGGTGGAAGTTAGAACAGACCAACTGGAAAAGAAAATAGAGGTCTCCTAAACATCCTGTCCATCCTTCTACTTTATTTTCTTCTATTCCAACTTGTACTTACATAGACTAAAGAAAATCAAAACAACTGCCATCTTTTTCAAGATTTATAAAAAAGAATTTGAAAATTTGCCTTCTTTATTCCTATTAATTTAATTCTCTCCATTTCTGGGAAATAGCATTCAGATTTTTCAGAAGCTGCAGAAAAAATGCAATAATTCAGTTGTAAGTTATTTCATTAAAAATAAATTACTAAAGAAGTGGCACAATGTCTCCATACCTTAAGCTCTTGTTTTCTTATCTCACTTGCGTCTTGCTGCTTGTCTACTGTCACAATGGTTTCCCGCACCTCTGAAATTATTTCAGCAACCTGAAAATGTAAATAAGCACCAACCTGAAATTGAAACAAGTCTGACTTATTTTATTCCTGTCATAAAGCTAAAAAAACAATACTCATTTCTGGAGGTCCTTTGGGAGAAACTCACATCATAAAAAAAAAAAAAATCTCCCCTAATCTTTACACAGCCACAAAACTTCATGTGAAGCCTTCTCTCATTGCTGGTGGTTTTGAGGAAAACAGCATTCCTTGATCCTTGGAAAGAATCTGCTTTAGTAAAAGTTATCTTGAGCATCCTAAGATCATGTTGGACCTCTGTGCCCCAAATTCTCTCCCATTCTGACTTTTCAATGAGGAAGAACAAGCATGATGCTCTTGAGACTATCTAGCTTGATTTCCAAATCAGGAATATAAACCTTTAGAATTGGGAGGAAAATTGCCGTGTTTCCCCGAAAATATGACCCAACCAGAAAAGAAGGCCCCTTTTTGAACACATCTGCTAAAATTAAGCCCTATCCCTAATTAAGACCCCACTCACCCTGGGGGGTGGGGGGGTGGGGCAAGGCGCACAGGTAAAAATGAAGTTAGGAGGGGTGGTGCTGCCCTACTTACCAGGCTTTGCACACCCCAACACCTGCCTTGACTTGCAGGCCCACTTCTGCGGCTGCTTGCCCCCACTCGCATGCATCACACCCGGCCTCCATTTCGCCTTCCAGAAAGCCGTCTGCAGACAAGAAACAAGGTCCGGATTGACACACGCATTGCCCCCAACCTCCGTTTTGCCGTCAGGGCCTTCCGTAAAGCACTCTGCAGACAAGAAACGAGGTCCAGACTGACACGTGCATCGCCCCTCCGGCCTCTGTTTTGCCATCAGAGCCTTCCTGGAAAGCTCCTTGCAGCTGAGAAACAGGCTCCGGATTGATGCGTGCAGCACTCCTGGCTTCCATTTCGCCTTCAGATGCCTTCCAGAAGTCATCTGTAGCTGATAAAAGAGCTCCGGATCAGGAAAGTCAATAATTAGACCCCCGAAAAGAAGCCCTAGCCATGGGGGGGGCAGTTTAAAAGAAAATAAGGCTGGGTCATATTTTTGAGGAAACATGGTAGCTGTGTCTCTCATCTGTTGAGGTGACAAGCAAATATGATATGGTGAATATATTAGTAGAAAAATCTAGTTGATCACTCAGTTGCAAACTACCCAAGCTCTTCAAAAGTGCTTTATTAAATATAAATGAATGAATCATTTGGAGGTGACATGATAGCAATCTTCCAATATCTGAGGGGTTACCATAGGAAAAAAAAATTCTATTCTCCAAAGCACCTAAAGGCAGAAAAAGAAGCAATGGATGGAAACTAATCAGAGAGAACCAACTTAGAAATAAAGATAAATTTCTGACAGTGAGAACAATAAATCAGTGGAACAGCTTGTCTCCAGAAATCATGGGTGCTCCGTTGCTGGAGGTTTTCAAAAAATTACACAATCACTTGTCCGGAATGCTATATGGCAATGGCTCCGAACCTTTTGGGTGCTAGGGTCCAGTTCTGTGGAGGAGTTTTTCTGTGGACCAGGGTGGAGGTGGAGGTTTCACATGCTGTCTAGGTCCCATGTATGCACAGATGGGGTTTTGCTTGCTTGCACAGCCCAATTCCTGGCGAGCCGTGGACAAGTGCCAATCCATGGCCCGGGGGTTCAGGCCCCTGGTATAGGGTCACCTGCTTGAACAAGGGGTTGAACTCGAAGACATCCAAGGTCCCTTCCAACTGTTTTTCTGTATTCTGTCATTTTTCTAAATATATGAATATTTACACTCAAAACTATCAGGGACAATTCAACTGATTTTTTTTTTAGCATCCCCAAAAAAGCGAACTGTGTAGAAAGGAGAAATAGATTCAAAACAGGTACCTTGGTTAACGTAAATGCTCTGAAGATTTCCCTAAAGCAGGGGTCCCCAACCACTGGTCCCCGGACCGGTACCGGTCTGTGGAACAATTTCTACCGGGCCGCCGGTTTGCTGAGCGCCGCCATCTTGTTTTGATGAAAAAGTGCTTCCGGTGAGCTTTTCCGGGTAGAAAGCGGCGTTTGGGTGCTGAAAGAATCCTCGCGCCTTAGTTTCATCAAGGGTGGTGGTGGCTTCGAACAAAACTAAGGCGCGAGGATTCTTTCAGCACGCATGGCAAGGCGAGCCGAGCGACCGTCCCGAAGCCGTCGCGAAGCCCATCGACACAGGTACAAAGGAGGAGTTGAAGGTGGCGGGGAGAAGCAGGGGAGGGCTGGCTGGCCGGTCGCTCGGCTCTCCTTGCCATGCGTGCTGATGCCAGTACCGGGCCGCGGATGATTTTGTGATGCCAGTACCAGGCCGCGGCACAAAAAAGGTTGGGGACCACTGCCCTAAAGGATTAAAGTTGCAAAGTTGCAACTGAAAGAACTTACCATCTGGATCCTTTGGTCATCATCCCTCAAAAGGCAGAGCAACTTTTCCATAAGATGGGATACAAGGGATGCTGACGTGGTTGGAATCATAAGAATTTTTTGTAGGACACCCAGCATTCTCTTCCTTTAAAAAAAAATACACATACATACATACACACACACACACATACATATACATATATATTAGTTTAAAATACAAGGAATCATTATTTGGGGGTGGGTTGGTGCCTATATTTCTAATATATGGACATCACTATTTCCTGCCAATGAACAAACTTTCAAATCCAAATGTTAAAACTGTGGTTTCTCCTCTGCTTAGGAATATTGTAAAACATGGGAAAACTTCCCCTGTAAGATACAAGAGATAAGCTCAGATTGAAACAGAGAAAAAAGCTTATTTGGCTACAGCGCTATCTGCTTCCACTACACACTCCAACTCTCACTCCCTGAAATTCTGAGAAAAGGGAAACATTTTAGAGTGAAAATATTCTGCAGCTGGACTACAAATGCCCAGATTAGATGGTCAACTGGATATTCTTAAATCTCAACTATTTCTCTTGATATTCTCCTACTCCTGCTGTCTCCCAGATTCTCCCCAATTTTTGAAATCAATGCAACCATTACTTTATTTTCTACTATAAAACATTTATATCACATGACTGTAAGAAATACTATACCCTTTTGTCTCAAAACAACTATGAGCGGAAAATTTACAAACCACTTGAATTGATGTCAATATGTTAACTTGGTTTGCTCAAAAGGATATCATCAGATAATATCCGTCCAAGTCAACCTGTTCCTTTCTATACACATTTTAAAATATATCTTGTAAAAAATTATCTTTCACAATTGCATAAAACAATTGCATGGTTTTGGGTTTTTTTAGAATCTTACCTGCCTCCTTCTTCAGTGATATCCATGCAACCGATCATTAGAATTAACTGCTGACCTATACATTCCTTGGTCATCAATTGCTCAATGCAGGTCAGATCTTCCTTTTCTTCCTGACTGAGTACTGGAATGCTTTGAAAGTAGCTTAAAGATAAGAAAATGAATATTCCGTCAAAAGTTCCTTGTCAACCCCAGGCTGTTGTATTAATTCACAGCCCTTTCAAATTACACTTCAACACACTTCCCAGAGACAGCAACGTGTTGGGTTTTCTCCTGATCTTTGTCAATGACTGAATATTTAAAAAATTTAGATGGACAATGCAAAATGATAAGACATCTGAAAGAATTTCTCCTTTACACAGCATGGTGCTGTAAATCTGACTATACAACTCAGCCAATCTGCTTTAATCCCCTTGTTATTTCTGTAGCATCCCATGTCCATCAGATATCTTCATTATTAACTATCTTCTAAAAACCAGTTATTCCAAAATGGCACCAGAGAACTTAACACCAATACTTAAGAACGATAACTGTAAGATTAAAGCAGAAGGTACACTGAACTGACATTGCAATTTTTGAATTAATTGTGTTAATTTACCTCAACAGATAATCTGCATAGACAGCAGGCTCTGGCAACACTTCTTCTAAGAATTCTTCTCCTTTGGCTTTCAAGTGCTCACAAAGAGCTTTCCAATATAAGGCACTTTCTACAGTCAGTTTTTCTATTGGAATGGTTTTCCTTCAAAGGAAGTACATGGAGCACTATCAAGTTTCCATTTAAAAAAACCCAATTCTTTTCTTGTGTTAGTTATATAAATCTAATATTCCTATGAAAATCAAACACCTACATTAAAATGTTTCTGAAACATACTACTGTATGTTTTAATATTTATATTTAAGAAATAATGTCATGTGAGTATACTGTTGATGAAAAGTTAAAGAAAAAAGGTTTTGTTCTCTAACATTTGCCTGTTTATTTTTTATTTATTTATTTAATTTATTTATTTTTTATTTATTTTTGTGTTTCTTTTATATCCATCATAATCTACCAAGCTTTGGTGGTTTATATAAGCTATAATATAGCAAAATTAAAACATCAGCCAAATGAGTCTATAAGCCTTTTGATTTCTATATAAATAAACTCAGTCCCATTACAAGAGCTGTATTAAGAACTAACAAAAATATAAACAAGAGTAAAATACGACAATGTGTATAGATTTAGAAACATATTTTCCAATTATATCTCATTTCCTAATCCATTTCCTTTACACATGTTTCAAAAAAATAAACATACCACATGCGTTCAGTAGCAGGCTTCCCCTCATCCTTTCCCCCTGCAAGCTAAACATGTTTAAACCTGAAGTTATGTTTGACTATTAGAGTGCTGTCTGAACCTACCACTACAAGATGCCCTTATAGTATTTTGGGAACATGCTGGGAGAATTAATTTTGTATACAATTTTAAAAGACAAGTATCAGGATTGCTGGTGGGAATTCTGTGAGTTGAAGTCTACACATAGTACAATTGCTAAGGCTCAGAAACATTGGCATAGGAAGGCTCAAAACACATGGTTGCACAAGTTTCACGAAGAATATGGATGCAGGAAATTATGCATGCATTGAAAACAAAGAGCTAATAAATCCAACTGAAGCATTATGGGATATAATTTTAGAGGCAGAAGACTCTACCTTATGTTCCTGCTAGACAGTATACATTACTCTGACCCAGGTAAAAAGACAGCCACAGCTGTATTACGCCTACCTGTCATCAAATTCTGAAATTTGTTTAATCAGATCCTGGCAGGGAGACAGCAGGAATATAGCATTAAGGGCTAGAACACCCACTTCGGGGCAACTCTCCACATCCAGATGATGGAGCAATTCTAAGACATTTCCTCCAGCTAGATTTAACCAAGCTTGGAGAAGCTGTTTCTGTACCACTTCTTTCACGCTTTCTATTAGAGACAGAAATGAATTCCACATCAGTTGCACATACATACACACACGCCACATACAGTATATATGTATATCTGAATAATCTCCCTCCCTCCCTCCCTAAAACATATAAAGCAGGACTCAGAATCTTGATTCTTGACTTAAAACTATTGGCTTTACAATAGTTTAGAGTTCTTGATTTACAATTATTTGTTTAACGACAGTCTAGAGTTATGATGCTGAAAAAAGTGACTTATAGACCATCATGGAGGTTACAACTGTCACACCACTCCCACATGATTGCAATTTGGGTGTATGGCAACTGGCTCGAATTTATAGCAATTACAGTGTCCTGTAGTCACACAATTGAGATTTGCAGCTTTCCCAGGCAGCTTCCAACAAAATTACTGGGGAGGGAGCCAGAGGTGAGATGCTACCGGCATAACAACTGGTTCGGTGATCATGCGGCACGCACACACACGTGTCCTAAGTCTAAAGTAAACCCCCTGTGCCTCTCAGCTGATTAGCAGAGCAATCCACTTTGCTGCGCTGAACAGCTGAGAGGATAAAAAGGACCGAGTAGCCCGGGCAGATACGAGGCCCCAACTGAAGATCCTTGGATCAAGTCAGACCAAACTGGTTCTATGACAGCTGCTCTTCGGATCTACCGGTTCGCCCGAACCAGTCCGAACCAGTAGCATCCCACCCCTGGAAGGAGCCCAGATAAACCATTTGATTCACTTAATGACCATGGTGATTCATTTGATGATGTGAATGAACCTTTAAAGCCTGAGTATGTTTCTTTGTCCCCTTTTATACCCAACAGAACCAAGGTGGCGTCCTTTTGAGTCTTATGTCTTTTTCTTTTCCAGGGCTAAATTCATGTTTCTCCTGCCTTAAAGGCTCCTACGTTCATCTATACCAGAAATGGGTATTAACAGCCACAGTCCTATGATTTAGTCTCCACAACAGTCTGTTTCCCATGTGGCCCCTTGGGAAAATTAACTGTCTCCCACCCCCCACCCACCCCAAAATTTACACTGTATTTCTTCACCTTCTCAGATCAGAAGAGTAAAATTGAGTTTAAGGGAGAGTGAAGATTCTCACAGAAGAAATGTTGACTATATATAATTTATTATGATGTACCTTCTATTATGACTCTGTTTCTGGCCTTATGACTATAATATCACGTTTCTCTGAACACAAGCCCTGGTCTTATGGGGGGGGGAGCACTCCAAACTAAGCACTAGAACTTTTTTTTTTTTAACATACAGGGCGCGGTGAGCGCGGAGACCGACAGGAGTGGGATGCTGGAACCGCCGGTCGGCCCTCTCCGTCTCACCACCTGTGTGCCCGCAGTCGCAACGGCCAAGTCTCCGCATGCCCTGCCTGCTGGCCCTGCTGCTGCTGGGACCCTGGAGTTCAGGTTTTGCTCAGACTGCTGCTATAAGGCAGAAGGCAGTATGGCGCATCAGGACCGCATGCCCCCCGTGTGCCTCTGCCTACTGCCTGTGCCACCGCGCATCAGAATTGCCTGGCTCCATTAATTCGGGTGTCAATCTGTCCCACCATTTCTTGGCTTGCCCAGGGCTGCGATGGGGGAAAGCCACACGGCGCATCGGGATTGCCTCTCCCACCATGCTTCTGCTGCTCTTGGCTGCCCCCTGCTGGGTTGCTCTTGCCTGGCGCGAGGTGAGTTGGCCCAGGTCTACGAACTCCCCCTGCTGCCAGCGCCCCTGCACTGCAGGGCATTGCAGCTTTTGTGCTGGCTGTGCGAGGTGGACGTAGGGCTGCCCATGGCTCCCTTTGGCCTCTACCTCACCTGTGGCTGCTTGGCTGCTTCTGACTCGCCTTCTGACTGGCCCAGCTCAGCCCACTGGGCACTGCTGCCATGAGATGAGGCGAGGGTGGCGGCCGGGGAGATGTGTGTGTGGAGCTGATTCCTTCTGCCTGCCAGACATCTGCCGAAGCCATGTAGGACAGGAGATGGGTGCAGCCTATAGGTGACAGTGGGCAAAGCAAGACAGGCAGCATGGCTCCACTGGCGAAGGAAGGCCAGCAGTGGGGGGAGGCACTCCGGAGGCTGTAGATCTGTAGACTCACCCTGCACCAGGCAAGAGCAGCCCAGCAGGGCAGTCGAGAGCAGGAGCAGCCCACTGGGTACCCTAGGAGGGGCCTCGGAGAGATGCCTCGTTGGCGAGGTTGCCTGGCGCCACAGGAGGGCTGGGGCTGGCAAGAGTGCACCAGAAACACCCCCAAGAACCCAGAGAGTTGGAACGAGGGGCAGGTCCCAGCCCTCACTGGCTCAGCCGATCTGCGGGGCTGCAATTAAGGGGCTGAGTTCAGTCCAGGCCGAATTCGGGGTGGTACTTTACCACATTGCCGATCCCACCACTATACCGAGTCACACCATGTGCCCCCTCCACACACAGGTGCTAAGACCTGGCTGCTGGAGTCGTGCTGGTAGGGAGGGAAGGGGCCGAGCTTCCATAAGGTGACTGAGGAAGGGAAGGAGCCGCCATTCTAAGCACTACCTCATGGATTGGTGCCCATGTTTGTGAGGGGACACGTGGTTGGGTGGATGGTCGTTGGCTGTTCCCAGAACTTAGGATGGGGAGAAGGATAAGTTTTCTCTTCTAGGTTCATTGCCCCTCCTTGGCCGGTGCGGGGTTTACAGCTTCAACTCAGGCCTTCAATTTATGTGGGCTTCTGAATTGGTATACCCAGAAGCAAGTTAGAAGACCTTCCCTTTAGTTACTTTTCCCCCCACTGTTTTATTTTCTGCCCTTAGGTCAAACTGTGTTTACACATCTCTCAAGCCCGCCCACACCCTCACATTGTCTCTCTACTTGCCCATCACTACTGCCAGATGTCGGTCCCCGTGCTCTCACCACCTCCTGCGCCCAAACACACACACCCCTGCTGATGATCTTCACTGGAGCTTATTTTTGAGATAAGGCTTATATTAGGCGCACGCTTAAAAATCAGACTGCAGCTTATTTTCTGGATGGGTCTTATTTTCAGGGAAACCTGATTTGACAATTAATCCTAAGAACATCCAGAGTTACTTTAAATTAGATATCCTATCTCCCATTACTAGCTAGAAACATATCAAACTTGTATTAGAAAAAATAAAATGTTTTAAAACATTTAAATTAAAATGAAAATATATTACCTGATCTATCATTAAGTCCTTGCTGCAAAAGTTTTACTCTCTGGGCTATTGTCAAAGCTTTGACATGAACTTTTTCTGCCAGCACCTTTAAAAAAATATTTTCACATAATTTTTCTTTGACTAATATGGATTAAAGAAAATACACTTAGCATATAAAGAAAATACACTTTGCAAACACAATTTGCAATATGTCTCCTAAACTGTAAACAGACAAGTCACAAAGCTAACACAACTGCAGAATAAGACATTCTGGAAAACTACCTTTTTCTTTCAAAAAAAGCAACTGACATCCCAATACACTGACTAAAATGCAACTTTAGGTCCATGTACGGTTTGCAAGAAAAACAACGAGGGATCTATTATACGGGAAAACTAGAGATGAGCCATTAATTTATAAAGGAAGAGAGGTGATGACTCTGAAACAAATACCCAGGAGGGGTAGAGAGCAGAGGAGGAACTACCAGTTTCTATCATCCCAACTGATTAAAAATAGGATTGCATTTAGGACCACGGAGGGACTTTTAATATCTTGGCAGGAAAACTTTAAAATTGATGTTGGACAAGGCACATGAGTTTCAGAGCGCTATTTGGGACCCAAAGAAAAACAAGAAAGTAGGGAAGAGATGGAGAGTAAGAGCAAACGTCAGAGAAAAAAGAGACAGAACGGGAAGAGAACAGAAGAATCGAGAGGAAGAAGAAAACAACAGAAGAGAACTTAGAGCAAGAAAAGAAACAAGAGTTACTCTATATAAACAGTAAAGTGGACACAGAAATTACCCTATTATCAATTAATATAAATGATTTAAACTCATTAATAAAAAGGAAACAGATATTTATAAAACTCCAGAATCAAAATGCAGATGTCATATGTATGCAAGAAGTCCATATCTCAAACAACAAGCAGATCTTGTAGAATTCCCCAAATTAGGTAAACTATATCTGGCCCTGACAAACCAAAAAAAAGAGGTATTGCGGTTTATATAAAAGATTGGCTAAACCCAAGGCAAATTAATAATGAGGAGGATAGAAGGATGTTATTTATTGAAATTACTTTAGAACAAAAGAAGATACTGTTGGTAACAATATATGCTCCAAATGCAAAACAGAAAGAATTTTATGGTAAACTTCATCGAAAGATAATAGAAACAGAACAGGCGAATGTATGTATTGTAGGAGACTACAGTGCAGTCCTTGACATAGAAAAAGATTGCAAAAGTAGCAAGAAGAATAAAAAAAGAGAACACTTCCAACTGTATTCGACAGAATGGTATCAGAATTGAATTTGAAAGATGTTTGGAGGGAATTAAATCCTCTCGAAAGACAATTCACATTTTTTTCCAATCCCTACAAATCATGGTCATGATATGGATGGACTCGGGATTAATGGAAAATATAGAGGAAATTTAGATTTTGCCGAATACTTGGGCCGATCACAATCCAATCAAAATCAAATGGAGAGGAAAGAGGATTGGAAGGTGGACTTTTAATAAAAATTTAAGAGATAAAGAACATATCCGAATGATAGAAAAAGAATTAAAAGTATTCCTTGAAA